CTTTGCCCCCTCCCCGCCTTTGTGCGCTCCCCACGCAGTCTGTCCTCGCCACGCTGCTCTCGACCTTTGGCGTGCCCTGACCCCCAGCCTGCCCTTGTCACCCTGCTCCTGATTCCCAGCCTGCCCTTGCCACCCTGCCCCTTCCATCCCACCCTTGCCACCCTGCTCCTTGACCCCCAGCCCCATCTTCATCACCCTGCCCCTTCCATCCACAGCCTGGCCAGTTCAGGAGAGCTGGCCGTGGTAGCCCTGCTCTCGATGCTTCAGCTGTAAGCAGACCACTCTGGGGCCTTGGGGTGCTAGAAAAGCAGGATCCTTGGGACACCATGCTCTACCATGGGAGTCGGGGTGTGGGCGGCCTGACAGCCAGCCCCTGAGTTATAGATGCGTCCATACCTCACCTGCTAATTTGTCTTTAAGTTGCTCTTAGCGTGGCCCCTAGCCCTGTCCATCTGCCTGTGCAGACGCGAGCTAAGAGGCTGCGCACAACACAAACCCAAACTTGCAGAAGGGGCTGTTAGCTCAGCACTGTCCCTGGCTATAGGGAGGCCTGGTAACAGGATGTTCTTGTTAAACTCAACCCTTCCCTCGCCTCATTTTCCCCATCTTCAGTTTGTTGAATAGAAACAAAACATAAAAATATGAGATGAATAATCCCCACCTGCTGAGAGCACAGCTCTGCAAACTCCCCTCGAGGCAGATCTGGCCCAGCCTGCCACCTTTGAGGGACTTGTACGCCTGTTACAGCATGTCCTCAACCAGAGCACCAAGGAGGCAGCAGGAGGGCTGGGGGAGGGTGGACAGAAGGGTGAAGATGCTGTACAGCCATCAGCCATGGGGAGAGGTTATAGCCGAAGAGGATAGAACCTACAGTGTAGGATTTCTTCAATATGCGAGTGGAACTCGCAAATCATAGAATCATAGAATGGTTTGGGTTGGAAGGGACCTGAAAGATCATCTAGTTCCAAGCCCCCTGACACAGGCAGGGACAAATCCAGCACTGTCTTCTTGCTGCATGCTACAGCAACAGGACAGGGAACCTGCAACCAGCTGCATCCACTGGGCAATGGCTGACTGCAGGATGAGTGTTTGTAGGATCTGTTGCTGGATGAAAATAACAGCAGAAAGTTAGGACAGAAAAAGAACTGCCAGAGGCTTTGACTATTTTAGCACAAGTACAGCAAGTGAAAGTGATTTTCCAGAATAGGTAAATTCTTTACCATTTCCTGTACTAAAAATCCCTCATCAGGTAGTGACTGATGATTGCTGATAGGTTTTGGCTGGATTAAAGGCATCCTAAATGTTTGTTTGAAATAAATGGGAGTTGTACAGAATGAACAAAATAAAGAGATAATCTAGGCTTTGCAAGAAGTGATTCATTAAAACAGTCATTTTATTTGTGTTTTGTTCAGCCCTCTGAATAACTGCCCACATATTTCCGTTGTTTTACTCCTGGTCTTCATCTGCCAGATGAGGTGCTTCCCACATTTATTTTCAGGTTCTCAGAGTGGCAAATATGATAGGAATTTAAATAAATTCAACAGTAGCAACAGATTCAACAGATGGAGCTTGGTATTAGGACACCTGCAGGGTGGGGGGAAGAAGGAGATAGTAAAAAATAAAACATGTATGATTACTAAATATAATCAACACCAACTTTTTCATAAATGTCTGCTTGTCACAAGCTTGACTAGCAGGTGTTAAAGAGGGCTATAAACTGTGATTACACGTGACTTAACGGTGACCAGTTAATCATCTGTTTACTTTAAGTAGACTGTGTGTAGAGCATGCCTGAAAACATTCTGGATTTGCTGTATGCTCTGAAAGTCTCCCATCTTGTAAAGTGTTTTTCCACAAATTATTTCAGGAAAGCCCAAGGTGTATCAAGGTGTTAGAGTAAAGATTACAGTTAAGGAGTTACTGCAGCAGAGAAGAGCACGGCAAGCAGCAACTGGTGCAGCGGTAAGTAAAAATCTTCTGGTGTCTGCTTTGTCTCTTCTCTCTTAATCTTTTTTTGTGAAGACTGCGAATTCTGGACCAAGGAGACTTCCAGAGTCTGAGTGTAGCAGGCTGGTGAGGATGGGAGAGAAGAACATTCAGCCAGGTTAACCACAGCAGTGATCTAAATGGGTGACAGTCTGAGCCTTTAGTGCAGGGAGAAAGCAGAGCTGGTGCTCCAGAAGCATAACTGACTCCAGGATGGAAGGCTCACATGGACAAATTTCAGTCCAACTTGCAGTTATCACAGCAACTCTAGTATCATTATGCTGGATGAACAAGGCAGGCTGTGGCCACTGCCCCTAATTTAGAATGTGGCCTGGCAAGGGTGAAGCATGCACCAAACTGTTCTGCAGCATCAGGTAAAGGATATGCCTAGGGCATACCTTTGACATGACCCATGCAGCTTTGAGGAGCAACTAGTGCAGAGCTGTGTCACACTAAAGCTGCCGTAACCTCCCCCTTTTCCACAAGTCTCAGCCCCCAGGAACCTGCTTTCAATCACCCCCTACCCCTGGAGGCTTTCTCTTGTCCAGTCAGATCAGGCAGGAAACAAAGGCACCAGAGGTATGGTGCCTCCAGCAGCTCCCAGGCAATGGAGAGAGTTTAGGAATTTGAGACTTAGTTACAGCCCCCGATGTTGGCTAGCAGAAAGGAAGAAAACAAGGCATGGACAAAGACCTCCTTAAGCAGGGCTCCATCCTGCTCCATTAGGGCTCCTTGGCATAATATTCAAGTGTGCTTGACTGAATTCACGTCTCCAGCATTTTTCAGTACCACCTGGGCAGCTCCTAGCGCCATCCCTTCTAAAGGAGGGGATGGACATCTCTGTATGTGTACACTTACACGTGTGCACTCTCTCTCTCTCTCACTCTTCTAGTCTCTGTAGGGGTCCTCTAGCTCCAGCCACTCTGGGGATTTGCATAAAGAGGTTGGTAAATCATTACTTCTTCCTGGTTCATGACATTACAGCTTTGGATGGTTTTCAGATTTCATCTCCCACCTCCTGTACCTCATTGCAGCTGATTAATTGCACAAAAAGCTGATCAGCCTGCAAGCCACAGACAGAGACCTGGGTGAACAGTGCACAGAAGCGCGGGGCTTTGGAAATACCAAGTCACTCCTCCCCTCCAGCCCTAACAGAAGCAGCCTCTTCATTGCAGCCAAGCGTCACAGGGCTGCATGGAACTGGTTTTCACTTCCCACAGCGAGTTTACACAGCGCTTGTTTTGCCCACACAGGAAAAAGTGAAAAGTGGCAGTGCAGGAGGTTACCTTTGTGATCTGCAAAAGGTATGTGTTGTCTGGGAGAGGCCCCAGAGGTTAGGGCTGGTAGGATAAGCTGCCTCCATGCACTGAAAAGAGCTGAAACTGAAAACTTCTGCCTTGTTACACATCTGCAGCCAAAGAGAAGAGGGGTAGTCCTACAGGCACTTTCAGCCCAGAGTAGCCACTATTTAATGAATTAAGTGCATGGGTATGTGCTAGAAAGCTGTTGCTAGGGAAATGAGCCACTAACTTGGGAGCATTTTGAATGAAGAAAATGAAGTGGAAGTCTACATGAATTAAAACTGAGGAAAAACCCCAGTATTTGTATTTGCAGAGTAAAATCCTGGTCCCAAACAACAAGCATCAAAACTCCTTGCTTATCTGGTGGATTTCTCCTCTCCGGCAGCTCAGGTTCCTAGAACAGATTGATGTGTCTGGTTCAGCTTCCAGCATCTCAGAAAATGAGAGTGTCCATTTTCATAGAGGCACGTAGCTGTGTTAGAGTGGGGAGCGATGTCAAAGCTGGTTCTCAGACGACATCAACACCAAGAACGGCTACCCAGTCTGATGCCCAGCCGTACCTGCAATTGTCCTTAGTCATATTTCAAGAGTTACTGCTACAATTTGTTAATTACTCATTCTCACTCATATTTATCCCTACAAATTCTTTGAGATCCTTCTACTGTGGAATTCATGGTCCTAGAAATTAGCACACGTTAGTTTCAAAGGCAGACACATCTCTGCTGAATTAACAGTAATAATGCAGTAGGAAGAGCTCACTAGCAAGGTACTGTATCAAGGGCTTTACACCAGGTTGGTGGTGTGCTCCTCCATTGCCATTATAGTCTCGGGGAAAAATCATGTTAATCTTGTTCTGTCAATACTAGGGAAGTTTTCCATGTCACAGCCATGAGGCAAATAAGGTTTACATAAATAGGTTGAAGCGTAATCTTGACTTACCTGAGTATGCAGAAAAATGGTCCCCTGTGTTAGTGTATACAATTCCTTTTTTTCCCTTCTCTTTGATCAGGTTTCTTGGGGCAGCAGCAGCATCCAGTTCTCAGAGTCCGTGTCTCCTCCTCACCCAGGTTGGTACAAACCCCATCCACATGTCCCTTCCCAATTTTTCCCACAGCCCGGAGTCTTTCCAGCCTTTGTTTGAGAGAGGCACTACCAGACAACCGGCAATGCAGCCAATCAGCACCTGACAGGAGCCCACGACATGCAGATGAGGATGCCGTGAGGCCAGCGGTGTACATATTGCTAGTTGGGGAGCACGCATATGTGCTCTCATTTGTGCAGTTTATTTTTCCCACAGCAAGGAGCGAGATCCCCTTCAGGAAGGGATGCCCGTCCCCTAGGGAATAATGTTGCTGGCACCACCTTCTCCAGGCTGCAGTCTGTGGGTCCGATTGGAGCTGGAGGGTCAGATCACCCTGGAGCTCCTTGCTGAGCTCCAGCAGAGCTGGCTGTTCTCACTCTCCTGGCAGCATCCGTAGGAGTGAGAGGAGTGTCAGGTTTTCAGCAACACAAAGGATTTCTTCCTCCTGTGTGTGAATATCCAAGGAAGGGAGAAAGGGGTGGAGGGAATAGCATGTTGGGCTCACAGATCCTTCAATTATTCTGCAGCCAAAGCAGAGAGACCTAAAAGGTTGGGCAGGTATGACTATATACATTGTATGGACAAGGAAATGCTTAAATCATCAATATGTGGGGATCAATTTGCTTATGTTAATACAGAAATGTGAGACATACCAAAGATTTATGAGGCTGGAAAGTCTCCATCTGTTTATGTATTTTGTGTGCTTCTCATTTCCTCCCCACATCCAGCTAAACACTGCCACCTTGAACCTGCAAACAGTTACGCCTCTCAGTGGCTCTCTACCAACGTGCAGTTCCATTGCCCTCGGACCTGTGCCCCTCCATGTGGACAGGGCTTTGCTTCTAGCCATATTTGAACACAGCATGAAAAGATAATAATTCTGAAAAGTCAGATCTGCTGTGAGCTTTCATACCCCAGCAAGCATGTTGCAGTACAGTGAGAGTCTGACCCTACAGCTTTCTAGGAACGCACACTTTCCTGAGTAATGCTACAGGGATGCAGTGCCACGTTATCACTGATTTGTTCCATTTTTTCTGCTCAGAAGTTTGGCTCCTGTCTGGCTGTTTGGAGAATAAAAGAGACACTGCATGGCAAGCTTCTAGGTCTGTAAACAGTTGACATTTGAAGGGAGGCCAGAGGGTCAAAAGTCTGAGGGAGTTTCCAGCTGGATCCCTGACCAAAATGACTGGAGCCAGAAGAGTTTCCAGCAGTGTATGAAGAGTTTTGGAGCTTTCCAAGGGGACTAAAGTTCCCATTATATGCATGCTTTTGAGCACCTTCCTCCTGGTGTCTGCTTCTCTAGAAAATTCACTCTGAATTTGAAGGATCTTTTTCCTTGTCTAAATCAATAGGGCTACTGAACATATGAGAGTACTGAAACCTGACCTGAGGCAATACCCGCCATTTGTGAAAACAGGCACTGAATAATCTGTTCCTACTCTCTGGTTTACCTTCTCTCTTAATGCCTTTTGGTGCAGAACCCATCTCTTCTGTTCCCAACTATTGTCCATCATGGCAGTTTTCGAATTGCCTGTCCTGCGAAGAAAGCCCTAGCTATTTGGAGCAGCTGGTAGATTCCTGCCTTCAGACAGATGCACCCTTAGACCCAGCCTTCAGCACTTTCCAGACGTCCTCGCACTACACCTCAGACACCTTCCAGCCAGTCCCACTCTGCTTTAACCAGGACCTGGTAAGCTTTGTGTTCCGGGGAAGCAGCCACAGGTGGACTCAGAGGGAAGGCGGGGAAGGGAGTCACATCCTGGGGCAGAACAGCAGCAAGCTGATTTGGAAACGTGGCTGCTTTAAGGGCATGCAGTACAGCTGCAGCTTGTCTGGACTTCTTCATGGTTTCCCATAGGGAGCAGAGGACAGGGAGGCTCAGCCAAACTTGAGAGGCTGCAGAATAGGGAATGTGCCTCCTACAGATCCTGTAGATTTCCTGCAAAGAATAGCCCAGTTCCTGCTAGCTATTGTCTAACTCTCATGAAGCTCCCTATTAATACTAATGTCACAGGAACTGCCTCTTGGGTTTAGGCCTCCAAGAGCTGAACCATCTCCCAGGGTAACTAGACATTCCTGAGAAAGGCAACGGCATGGAAGTTCTGGCTGTCCACATTTCCCCAAATGACACCCTGAAACATCCTGGTTTTGTGGGGTTTTTTTTGTTTTCTTTTTTTCTCTCAAACTCTAGGCTGCCGATTTTCCCAGTTCAACTAATCCGTCCAGCCCATTAAACTACAGCTGCTCTCCTCCTCAGCTATCTCCTTTCACCTCGCTGACCCACAGCCCACCCTCTGCTCTGGACACCAAGGCCTATGGCTGCCCTGCGGAGGAGTGGTCCTGCCATGCCCCCTCCTCCCCATACGCCACCTCTGCCTGCTGCTGCACTGCCTGTGGCTCCGAGCACGCGGACAACAGGGTTCCGCAGTACTTCCCCTGTCCCAGCACGGACTGCATGGACTACCTACCACCCATGGCCATGGCTGATGACTTCTTCAGAAGGGATATGAACTGTGACATCTGCTATAGCTAATGGGGATTGTGGTTTTACACATCCATTATATCCAAATCAGATTAATTGCCCATGAACTATGCAAAATTATGCTGCCTAACACAGTCCAGCTTATTCTTCACTACTCACACACTTTCTACATGACATTGTCACTACATTAGTCCTCCTGTCTCATATGGTCAGGGGTGTTTTGTTGTTCTTGTGATGGTGGTTTGTTTTTTTTTTTACTGTTTGGTTTTGTTGTTGTTTTTTAAAGAAATCCTAAGCTGCCTTACCAAACACATATCATTAAGCCAGCTCTTTTTGATACAAATAAAGAATTTGGTACACATGCTGGAGCCTGTTCATTCCTCATGTGCTGAATGTCAATGCTTTTCTGTTCTGCTAATGATCCAAGAGCCTGACCCTGTTCTCACAAAGGTGAGGAAGAAAGACTTTCAGCAACCTACACAAGGAGCACTTAGCAGTATGAAAGGTCTTGCTTACCCTTTCCAGCAGATAAAAAGTCTCAATGTATCTCAGCACCCAGCACACTATCCAGAGAGAAAGCTGTGCAGCACCCTGCTCTGAGATGGATCTGCAGCTGCTTAGCCACTGCTTCTGCTCAGCTGCCATGATGATACTCTCTAGCGGTTCTTGCAGGAAAAGAAAACTGCTGTTCTCCCTGCAAGCTCAGGGCTTAGTCTACAGGTCATGTGCCAGAAAGGCCCCTCAGATCTGCACATAGGTTGAATCCAGTGCCAAACGTCTTTGGCTGCTGCTGAACACCAGCTTCCCTGTGAAGGCAGAGTTTCAGTGGGAGGCTGATATAGTTCAGCAGGCCTTTGCATAGTTTGGTCTGTTGATGTCAGGTCTTCTCCACCTTTGAAGCATAATCAACTTAACAGGAGTTAATTTTTTTTTTTTTTTTTAAAGTGCAAAAGTTATCATACCTGAGGATTCCCTGTTTTTTGCATAAACCCAGACCTTTCCAACACTGTGTCACATTTCCTTTTAATAGCACTTGGTCAGGCAGACTGCCAAGCCACTAGTTTCTCAGCTGAGCACCTAGACTGGAAAGGAAGAAGCATCTCTCCATATTAAACACACAAATGAAAAAACTAACTACACCTGTGAAGAAAAATACATAATTTAACGAGCTCTATGCTCACCTTCTTCAGACGCTTCTACAGTTAACTGAAAAGCTTTCCTCTCCTCAGAGTTGAAATTACCCATATGGCCAAGGATGCAACCGACACACACATCTGGCTGCCAAATAGGTAAGTTTCCTTCATTCTACCCAAAAAAACAACCAGTACTTCCTCACTCTGTGAAATCTAAGAACTAAGAGTAACATATTTTAACAAGACTTTAAAAAACATTTACATCATGCCAGTTATATCAACCTTCTATCCCCGCCTTCATCAGAAAACATAGCTGTTACCTCCCATGCAGCCTCCAGGGTTCTCTTCACTTTTAAGTTCTATATGAGGTAAAAATGACATTTTTTACATGTCCAGTCCATGTCCCTGGACAGGATGTTTCTTTTTTTGCCGTGCTAGACAAGGAGATAACACAGAAATAACTGTACCTTTCCAACATCCGCTTCCTTTACTGTATATAAGTTTGCAGGTTTTTTTTTTTTTCCAAAACTTGCTTTAAAGTATTTTGACAACTTTAGATAATATATTAGCCTCTCCTCTGTTGTTACCAGATTAATCTCAGAGTTGGCCCAAGTGATAAACGTGTTCGGTCACAGAAAGCTTAAAACAGGAGTTAATAGCTGTATCTTTACTGCTGTTAAAGGTGTGATTACCCCTGTACAGAAACATCCTATTAGGTGTCATTATAGTAGTGTTGGCAGGTGCTTCAGCCCGTGTGAGTGTTATCTCATGACATTGCAGGGTTACACTTCTACTGGCCCAGCCTGCTCCACAGCTTGCTGGCTGCTCCTGCTTGCTGCTTGATGAGTGGGCACAACTTGAGCCGCATGTCAAAGCCCCTTATCACCAACACGGAAAGAGCCACAAGAAGATAAGGTTGAGGTAAGATATTTGAGGCTTCTAGTGGAAATCAGGTGACCACATCCTCCCCATGGGTTGGCAATGTGGGTCTGAGCTTACCAGAGCCGAGATGTTCTATACAGCAAAGGAAAGCATACGTGAAAATGGTAAGTAAGCATTCTACAAGGAGAGGTGCTCATATTAACGCATTTTACAGCAAGGTTATTAGTATCCCAGTCTACACAACAGTGCCAGCAGGGAATTCAAGTAAAGTGTTACAGTCTACCAACATCTCTTATCTGCACATCAGGTAAATATCTAAATCTATTACATTACCAGCAAATTGCACACTTACCAGCAAGTTGTGGCACAGATCTGTACAGCTACCAATGGTTACACTGCATCTCCAAAGAGGACTGCTCTGTGCAAAGACTGTGGTGTGCAGTAGGGAGCTTGTGCCCGTCATTGAACCTATGGCTGCTGTTTATGCATGACTAGTTAGGAGTGGCAGTGTGAGCATGAGCACTACAATCCACCCTACATCCCATTCTTATTCCTGCTCCTTAGATGTTGCCTGACCTAGGTAAAAAAGCACCCATCCAGCGGGGGAAGCTGTCTCTTGAAGGGCTGCGCTGGTCTCAATGCTGAGCTTCCACAATTCCAGGGCTAGCAGGTGGCTGAAGTCCTGAGGTGGGAGCATGCAGTATATTCTTAAAGACAAGAGATATTTAACAGCTATTGGCCTCACGCTGCATGGGACCAGCTTCTCTGAAATTACCAGCTGCTCTGTTGGGACGATGATATTTCCGGCAAAACGCTTCTATGCACTGGAGTCTCTGGACTCTAACAGCTTCCATTAAGTAAGTAGTGCTGTCCTCCATCCTTTGCAGCTTCTTCCTGTTTCTCTGCTGCTCTTTTCGCAGTTGTTTCGCAATCCACCGTGCCAGGGACTGCAAACATGTTTTAGACACCCTTCACCAACTCCATGTCAATAGCCCAGGTGACATACGCAGTGCAAGTAAAAGCTTGCTGACTGTTGACACAATGATGTCTTGTTGACACAAGAATGGAAAAAAAACAACAGAGGAGGACATTTCAAAGGTTGATTGTGCATTTTCTGGCTATGAGGAATATATTCTTTCCCCCCTTTATTCAACCCCCCCCCCCCCAAAAAAAAAAAAAAAAGGGTTACAGCAAAGTAGCTTGGGTCATATCTCCAACAGAGCTGGCCCAGCACTACTGAAACACTGGCATTTCATCAGTCCCTGCCAGGTGAAGTTCTGCCAGCCTATATAAACACATGTTTACACAAAAGCGAGGATCACCCGGTTCTTACAAAAGCCATGAATAACTCCAAAAGTAACCCGCAGTTATAGAGAAAATAAAAGGTTATTACTTCTATGTCCTTTACGAGTTGCACAAAGGTTTCCTTTGCCAATCGACTGGCAACTTTTCTATGGTGCCACTTCAGAACATTTATTTGGTGATAACAACCCTTTGTTACTAGCAACTTATCCAAAACCACAGGCTGGAAGAGATAAACTGTGCAAATAAAGGGATATCAAACACTGCCAGTACTGCTAAAGTTCTAAAAGGTACATTTTTTACATTGAGGGTGGTGAGGCACTGGAACAGGTTGCCCAGAGAAGTTGTGGGTGCCCCATCCCTGGAAGTGTTCAAGGCCAGGTTAGATGAGGCTTTGAGCAACCTGATCTAGTGGAAGGTGTCCCTGCCTATGGCAGGGGGGTTGGAACTAGATGATCTTTAAGGTCCCGTCCAACCCAAACCATTCTGTGATTCTATGATTTCCCCTGAAACAGTCATAAAAAATTGAAGGGTTAAGTGTGAACTAAGATACTGCTTAAATCAATGAAATTCACTCTAGCACAGAAGACTTAACACTCAGGCCACTTTTGGGCCTTAAAAGGAATTTTCTTGATACGTAGGCCAGGAACCGGCTGGCTTGACAGGGAAAGGGAAAGTTGCTCTACATGCATGGAGAAGCAGCAGCCTCCAACTGTCTCGTGGATCCAGTCCAAAGACAATATGAACAGCTTGTTGATTGTGGCTGGCTTCACAGCTGGCCTCTGATGTATGAGCTTTGGGAAGCTGAGCACAGACATGACTGTAGAGAGAAGGAATTCTTCCTGGGTCACTCATGGGATCTGCAGATCTCATCTATCAATTCTGAGTAGCACAGGCTGCCAGGGTAATGCTTTGAATGAAGCCACATCCACCCCTCCCCAGATCAATATTTTCTCTGATATTCTGGAGATGGTGATGTTTACAGACTACAAGTCACTGATGATGTTGCTCTGTATTAGAAATCTAACATCAGTCAGATGAAACAATAAAGAGATAAGCCACTCTAGAAAATACAGTTCATGTATTTTTTTCACTTGCTGCAAAAGGACTTTTACCATCTCATAGACATTTCTAAATGGCAAAAAACTTTTTACATTTTCCCTAGTGCATCACATGCCACACGCTGGTCACTTTCACAGTTTTGTTGCTAGCAAGTTCAAGAAACAGGTATTTTATTGACCATTTTGTCTTGACACACAGTACTAATCAATGCAGTTATCATTCAATTCAGGGCTTGACATAACATCCCTTCAAAGTAAGAAACCACATGCTTTTACTGGCCTATGCCCAGATATGTGCAAATTTATGCAAACACATGCAAATATGTCTTCTTTTTTTGTCAGCCGATGTTGGCAGGCTTGTAGATATGATGTAGTGAGAAGCAATAGCAAAACAGCAAAGAGGAGGGCTGAGAAAGTCGAGAAGATCTCTGCGTTTCTGAAGAGCTTTTGTGTGAGTCTGCTAAACAGTCGTCTAAACAGTCCAGGGGTGTGAGACTGACAAGTGCTTTAGAAAACCCTATCCCATTGAGTTGGTCAGTGAGTGATCAAGGAAGTTACTGCAGTGATTTAAGACATCTGCCCTTCATCTTATTGTTCAGTCCTGTTAGAAAAAATAACTTGTACAACATTGAGAAATCAGCGAACTATAATTCAGAATATCTACTGAAGGTGA